AACAGCACATGAGTGTATTTGTAAGACTCGCATGCACTTCTGAGTCCACCACGTAGGAGAGAACTTACACAGAACATCCTTAAACATCTCCAAACACGTATTCAGCCACTGATAACTCTGCTACTCTGTCAAGTGTATGACCAGAGACAGATTAGGGGTTTCATCTGCACATGAGGTTTATAATGGTCTGTGATGGGGTACATTTATAATCAATTCATAAACAATAACCATTGAGAACTGTTTGACTTGCCTTCGTCCACAGAGGAGCTTTTATGGAATCGTCCAGTGTCCACAAGAGGGGACAGAAGGATCTATACTACAGAGAGTAACACAGCACTAGCTGATAATCTGTCTCAATTCATTATTATTATTCTTTTCTTTTGGAATGAGCCAGGGTATAAAAAGGACGAAATCAACATGGCCATAATTCCTTTTCTGTTTGTTTCTTTATGGTTTCCTCATCGTTCCTCAATCTTCTTGTGAACCCCGTCACATCAAGTTCATGCCAACTTCTGTGCCACCCTCTCCACCCAGCGCCATTGCCATCACCTCCTTCTGTTAGATGTTCCCTATGATCTATGAATAAAGCCTCTGGTGCCTCGGTCAAGGTCTTCAGCCCCAGCACCACCCCCAGTTACCACCATCATTCTGGCAGGCCCCGCCAACCTCCTGGCCTCCCAGGCCTTGACTTGCTCAGAGCCAGTGTGGAAGTCTTCTCTCCCCCATGAGTAGCTTGGCCAGCTACTCCCATCGGGGCCGCTCCCCACTCTGCCACCTCTAGAAACTGCTCCCTGAAATCCCTGAGTCCAGCATCCCACGCTGACCCCACCTTCTACCCTCCAACTCCCCGTTAGACATCTCCTCCTGGATGTCTCACAGACACTTGCCACTCAGAATGACAGAATCGGAGGAGTCAGATGCACAGTATTCGATTTCAATCTTTTATTGTCATCAGTTAATCATAGAGCTGAGCTTCTTTGGTTATTCGGTGTTTAGCTTGGGCTCTTCTGATGACTCTTGCCAGGTTCTGGGACTCAATCTTCATCCCTTCCTTCTGGATCCTGGTATCTGGTCAAACAAAGTGAAGGCTGTATCCTTCATTCGGTTGTGACGCTCTCCATTGTTTGCTGCTCTTTCAGCTTCTTGCGGGTAGATCTGCAGACCTCCGTTGCAGGCCTCAATGGCTACCATCTCTATGATGTAGTCGGTCAGGTAGTCGAGCATCATCAACAGAAAATCGACTGTGGATGAACTCACACTCCGATTATGTTCACCATTCTGTAGAAGACGATCCAAGTAGCTCAAAGGGTACTCTAACTCGGTTGTCAAAATATGGGCTGGAGCCTCATTGGAGCTCTCATGGCTTCGTTTTTGTGACATGATGGTTGCTGGGTTTAGCTCCAATAAGCTCTTCTTAATTCTCCAGCTGGACTGGGCCTCTGAAGACACCGGTGCTCTGCTCTGCCTATTATACCCCGTGCTCTAGCCCTCATTGGTCAGGGTGCCCTTTGTGACATCCTAGTCTTTGGGATGTCATTCGTGTCCTTTGTGCCCTCATCAGGCCTCAGCCTAGAAATGTCCCTGGTCACTCTAGTGACTGAATCTTGATTTTGAGGGATCTGTCCTTTTCTGTTTGACTTTAACATTGTAGAAATAAATGTTTCAATAGAAAACTTTTCCCATTTTTAGGACACACTTCATGTTATCTGATTCTAGCCTTACATTGTCTTCAAGGTCCTTTATAACCTTTTGTTAGTTGTAGGTTACTAATAAATATGTAACATGTATTTTCTAGTAGGGATTAAGTTGTCCCCCAGCCATGATATAATGAAATCCATTTTGCCTCAGTTTACACATTCATTTAAATATTCTTAATATTCCTGTATCTAACTTTTAGAATTTCTTTTGAATCAGTTTTAACTTCCCATTCCCTCACTGAGTAAACAGAACCTTTTAACAAATGTTCATTTCATTATCCGTATGAGTGTCTTGATTTTACGGTCTGAAAAATATCTTTTAATAATTTTGAAAGTCAAAATGAGATGCTTAATGGATTCATCTGTCAGAACCAGGTGTACACTGTTGAGAGAGAGAATTGTAACTTGTGTGCAGTTTATGCCCAGATGTCTTTTCTTGGCTGTCCTAGGTCAAGCCAAAGCACCGAGATGTTTCTTCTTTTTTTTTTTTTTTATAATTTTAATTGTCCTCTCCACTAATTGTGTTTCTGCTTTGTTTTTTGTTTGTTTACAGCTGTTAACAGTTATAGACATTTCCATTCCAAAAGAGAGAAAAGAGAAAGAAGAAAGGAGTCTCTGATACAAGCAATTTCAATATCCAAGCAGGCAAACCTCCATAGGTTGGAGACCTGGGAATAATTTTTCATGACTTGAAGTTCCTCCCTTGATCCCATGACTTCACCTGGGTTCATATCTCTGCCTTCTACATTCTAAGCTCTGCCCTCAGAATGATCTTTATTTTGAATTGAGCGTATGTTTGCAACTAAGTAGTTTTATCAGCTTTTCTCCTTGTAAACATTTGCAAGTCCCACAACCTTTTTTTATTTCATCCTCTATCCTTTCAGTTAAAGATGGCATTGTTTCTGCTTATTCAACATACTCAGAAGTCTTGTAGCTTCCCATGTATATCCTGGGATTCATGTCTTTACACAAGAGGCTCATTCACAGATCTCTCTTGGAAAATCCCATTTCTATTTATTTGTTGCTACTGCTAAGATGGCATGATTCACATCCCACATCACTTCTCAGCTTTTGCCTAAGATCAAATGATTCACACTCCACATCACTTCAAAGAGTCCTCTGTTTGAATACTCTGATCTTTTGATCCCTCAGAGGTACTAGCATATAGACATCCAGTTACATCCTTGATTTTATCTCCACAGGGCATTTTCCTGACAGTGAATCCTCTCATATTAATGTCTTTTGCAATCTGGATGAGCTAAGATTTTCTCATATCTTCATGTCCTGGTTCTTTTTTACTTAACAGTTTTTCCCTCAATTTATGTCTTTCCTCTAACATTTTAGTATTAACAGCAACAAGAAACAAGTGCATGTCCTGGGAATCCACTCAGCTAAATTTTCATTGCTTACAATTCAGCTAAGATTTCTGTAACTATATAACAAGAAACCCCTTTCCTACAGTTTCCAATATTAAATTCCAAATTTACTTCTAAACCTTCACCATTAATGCCTTTGACTTTCATATTTCTATCAACAGTCTGTTTATGATGATATAGGTATTCTCTAATATAGGTATTCTCTGCTGTACTCCTTACTTTTGAGCTCCCACCAGCAGCACTTTAAACATCCATCCATATTTTTAATAACTGTTCAAGGCAATCTAGGATTTTTAAAATTATGCTTCTCAATATTATTCTAGCCTATAGCCTTTATCCAATTCCAAAACCATTTCCACATTTTTAGATGACTGTTATAGTAGAAACCCACTTTCTGGTACCAAAATCTGTATTAGACTCCTACAGCTGCTGTAGTGAGCTGCTATAAATTTGGTGGTTTAAAACAGCACATATTTAGTCTCATAAAGCTCTGAAGTTAAGCAGTCCAAAATAGCTTCACTGGGTTGAAAACAAATTGCCATCAGGGCCATACTCTCTCTGGAGGCTCTAGAGGAAAATCTGGCCTTTTCCAGCTCCAGAGCTGCATTCCTTGTCTGTATCCCCTTCCTTCGGCTTCACAGCCAGCAGTGTAACATCTTCGGTGGTCAGATTTCCTTCTTCTGTGTCACATGTATCTCTGCCTCCCTCTCATAAGGACATGTGTGTTTACACTTAGGCTCTGTCAGATAATACAGAAGAATCTCCCATCTCAAGAGCCTTAATCTTACATATAAATTCTCTTTTGATATATAAGGTAACATTAGCAGGTTCACGGGATTCAGATCTGGTTAACTTTGGGGGCTATTATTCAGGCTATCACAGAAGATATTCCCAGGAAACTCTAGTAGGGAAGTGAGGGATTTAAACAGGGAATAGAAGGAAGCAAAGAGTATAACATTAATTAACTTAATATCACCGAAGAACTTTAAGGGACACTAGAAAACACATTTGCCAGGGGAATACAATGCCTAGCATTCTAGACTATCATGCTACTGGGCAGAGTTGGCTCTGACAGCCTGATGAAACCCCTCACACAAAGAAACTCAAGTAGTGATATTTGAAGTTCAGGCCAATATGCATATAAATGGTGGTAAGGGCTGTAGGGGTAAGGGCAGGACAATGACAGCATCTTCTACACCCAGGAATGTTTATATACCTTCCTTATAAAGCCTTTTCTTTTCCCCTTACCTCCTGTCCACTCTTTCTTCCTTCATTTAACAAATATTTATTGTGCAGCTAACCTGATATCAAGCCCCAAGTTAGATGCTAGATATTCAACATTGAACAAAATAGACATTATCTTATCCTTATGGAGCATCTAGTCTAGTGGGAAAGACAGACGTTAAACAAATACCCACATAAATATGTAATTCCAAATAGTCATGCATGGTCTACAGCAGAGTGTACCAACCTCAGCACTGCTGACATTTTAGACAAGATAATTCTCTGTTGTTGTGTAGGAGGGCTGTTCCTGGCATAGAATTTTTAGCCGTCCTTAGCCTCTACCAGATACATAATAGCACTATCCAGCTGTGATGCCAAAAAGTATCTCCAGACATTGTCAAATGTCCCCTAGAGGCAGAGGGAGAAAATGGCATAGATGATAGACGCTCTGTTCATCCCTCTGGCAACCAAATCAAAGTTGTGACAGAAATAAGGAGCAAACAGCAAGGAAAAGTCACCTGGGAGCTAGATGAACAAGCCATACAACTAGGGAGAAATCTAAGAAATCACCCTGCAACCGCAGAAGGTAGGATGGGGTGAGGACACAAAACTGCTGGGTCTCCAGAGGCTGAATGAGACTGAGGCTGCAGCAGCAGCAGATGCCTATTAAAAGGGCTGCGTCCACAAAAGGACTACTCTGGTGACGGGCCTGCCAGCTCTGAGCACCAGTGCCCATTCAGCTGCACAAGAACTTACAGGGGGACACTGAGTTGTCTGAGTGAGGTCAGAACGAGGCTCTCTCCCCAGTAGAAGTGCTTGCAGTATACATTGTTCCCTGTTGAGCCCTCTCCCTTCCCAGTGTGTGGATTCAGCGCAGCCACAGCAGAGATGGCATCAAACTGGATAACAGAGGTTGCTCCGCCCACAGGATTCCCTGAAACCCCACCTCCCCCAACTCACAGCCCCAACCAAGCCACATCCAGGTGTGTCCTCAGTGACTCAGATGCACCTCACTGAGCAGTGCCAAGACTCACACTGGAGGGAGCTGGCCTCGGTTTCTGGCGTGGACCTTTGAGGCAACTAAAAGCACAACATCTGTGGATTGCTTGCTGAATCTTAACAGGTGGCCCCGGAGGGGTAGAGGCTTGGACTCAATTTGGCCTGCAGCTGAACCCCTCTCAGGACTGTGCCACTGGACACCTACCACACAAAGCCATACTAATAATACCGGGAGACTTAGGAGCTTTGCTTAGTACATAGAAACAGACACAGAAAAGCAGCCAAAATGGGAAGACAAAGAAACAGAAACCATATGAGAGGACAGAACAGAGATCCAGGAATAATGGAGTCAAGCAATATCACAGATGCAGAGTTCAAAACACTGGTTATAAAGATACTCAATGAACTTAGGGGAAAAATAGATGAACTCAGTGAGAATTTTAACGAAGAAATTAAAAAAACAAAAATGGAAATGGAAATTATAAAAGAGAACTAGTCAGAAATGAAGAACACATTATCTGAGATGAAGAGAATATTACAGGGAACAAACAGAGTGGATAAAGAAGAGGAGTGAATCACTGATACAGAGGATGGGGAAGCCAAGGACACTCAATCAGAATGGCAAGAAAAAAGAAGCTGACTATAATAATAATTTAAGGAGCCTATGGGACACAATTAAATGTAGAAACATCCAGGTCATAGGGGTACCTGACAGGGAACAAAAGGTTGAAGAGATATGTGAAGAAATAATGATGGAAAACTTCCCTAATCTAGTGAAGGAAATAGACATACAACCCCAGGAATCTCAAAGAGTCCCAAAAAAGATGAACCCAAAGAGGCCCGCACCAAGACACATAGAATTAAAATGCCACAAGTTAAATACAAAGAGATAATCTTCAAAGCAGCAAGAGAAAAGTAGTTAGTTACCTACAAGGGAGCACTCATAATACTGGCAGCTGATTTCTCAAAAGAAACTTTGCAGAACAGAAAGGCTTGGCACAAAATATTTAATATGATAGAAACCCAGGATCTACAACAAGAATACTTTATCCAGCAGTGCTATCATTTAGAGTGGAAAGACAGA